CACACACGCACACGCACACACACACATACACACACACCGATCTGGACAGCTCGCCTTTGGGAGGAAGAGGTCCCGACCCTCAGAAAGGTGAAGTTGCTGTCTCTATTTCTTGATGAGAACCCTTATAGAAAAATGAGATGGCTGCAGTGGTTTGGAGTTTTGGGGTTTTTTTAAACAACCATATTTGTAATTTTTCCTGTTGCCAGGCAAAATACCCAACGCCTGAAATTTAGGAGGTGAGAGATTCATTGGGCTCATAGTTTCAGAAGTTTCAGTCAATGGGCAGCTGACTCCAAGGCAGGAACATCATGGGAGAAGGGCTTGGTGGAGCCAATCCACCCAGCCCACAGCAGACAGGAAGCAGACAGGGAAAGTGTCGTAGGTAGACAGATACCTCCCACCGGCATGACCAGTGCCCACTTCCAACCAGACCCACGTCCTCCCCACACACTCAGCTGTGGACAGCAGGGTTAATCCACCGAGCAATACAGCACTCCCGGTCCACTCACCTCTCCAGAGTCTCTGGAGCCCATCAGTCTGGCAAGTAACCTTCACCACAACCAGCAGAATATGAGTGGAAGTCACGACGTGGTGACCATTTGCCTTTCCAAGGACAACGTGGCAGCTCAGTACCACACGTGGGCCTGGCAGCAGCTGGGCAGGGCTGCCACCACTCTGCCTACTTCAGAGGCACAGGGCCTTTCTGGTCCTTTCATAGCCCCTCTGAAGTCATAACAGAGTGGGACACTGGGTACTGACCCAGTTGGGCAACTCACTTTTTCTCCAGTTGTCAGAAGATGGCTGCAATCTGTCACCTTTGCTCACAGTTTGAGACTGTCACCTGCCAGAAAATGCCACGACACAGAAGCTGGCGGCAGGAGAGTCTGCCAAGAGGTGGTGTTGGAGGCAGTGACCCCAGACCTGCTGCAGTCCTAACCCTGCCAGCCCAGGGATATGACCTTGCAGAAGTCTCTGACATCAGCCACTGAGGCCAGCCCCACAGTCTGCCAGGCCCATCTGGTGATAATGTCCTCATGAGAAGAGGGAGATGTGGATGCCACACAAAGAGGAGAGAGACACACGGGGACCAGACAGGGAAGGGGACCGTGCTGGGAAGCAGGCAGAGAGAGGCAGCCCTATAGTATGTATGAGAATAAAAGCAAAATGATTCATACCAGCCAACAGTGCTTCCTAGACGGGGCTGGCAGGAGTGTTGGGCTGCAGGGGAGCTTGAGTTCCGGGGACAGCATAGTTGCAGGGCAGGGGGCCCTGTGTCTTGGACCAGCCCTTTTGGAAACCAGGCATGCCCAACCCGCTCTTGATCCATTTTTTTACAAGTTACCCAGCCTGGAATTCTGTCACCACAGTGGAACACAAACTAAGAAACAGCCATGCGCTGCCCTTCCCTTCTCACAAGCCAGCGTGGAGCCTGCCTCAACTCCATCCCAGGGGCGGATGTGCCTGGGTTTTCCTAGCTCCTTTCTGAAGGCCACGAGCAGCCCACAGCCCACTGCCCGCCCCGTCAGTGTTGGTGCGGCTCCCCTGTGCAGGGCCTGGCCCTTGTTTCCTGTGCTCACCGCAGCAGCCCTCTGCACCTGGTCCCTCTGCACACCTGGCCAGGTGAGCCCAAGGTCTGGTCCCAGAAAACATCAATTTTCGCTGTAAGAGTACTTATTTTTCTGGTTCTGGGAAGTGAACCAAAGACCTTTGTACTGGGTTACATCCCCAGCTCTTTTTACTATTCATAACATAAAAAACACGAGACTCTAGCTTGTGATCCTCCTGCCTCAGCCTCCCAGAATGCTGGGACTACAGTACAGCTGTGCACTACAGCCTGGCTCTCCTGATGTCAGGGGAGCTCCAGCTGGCTGTCTCAGAGATCTGTGCATTGCTGCTGCCCTTTCTCCCCCAGCACCTGTTCCCATCCTTTCCCACCAACCCAAGGTACAGGCAGTTTATTTTTTTACCAACCAAAGAAGTGGGGGAAGGGCCTGGTAGAGTTATAACCGGCATTTCTCTTCTATATTTCCACAAAATTTCAGGCATTATGCACCTCTTCTTTGAACCATCTGCTTAGATCTATATCTGTTAGCAAACTGTTTAGCTACATTATAATCCAGAAAAATAGCTGCTTAGATCAATGAGAGGCCTCTTTGCTTATATGTGAAGCAGTCTGAAGACGGCAGCTGAGGGAGGCCCAGCCACTCTGAGGTGCTGGGAGGAATGCACTCCCCTCCCCTCCACACAGCATCCTTAGCATGTTCCTTTCCTCGTAGCCACAAAATGGCTGCTCTATCTAGCATCATGCCCACAGTCCCAGGTGTGGAGAGGACAAAGGCAAACAGCCCAAGGCATGTGGCAGCCAAATCTGCCTTCTTTTCAAGGTGTTTCTTAGAAGTCACATGTAGCAATTTGTTATGATATCTCAGTGATTAAAATGGTTGGGCTGGGGATATAGCTCAGTGGCTCCTCCATCTACCTCAAAAACACAAGGTCCAGAGTTCAATCCCCAGTACCAAACAAACAATTTGTCACATGACCCTGCCAACAAGGGCAATCACCACCCCAACAGGTCAGGGTTCATGCTGTTAGAGAGGAAGGACATGGCGTGGGCACCTGGCAGCCCTTTTTCCTTTGCCTATGTCTTGCCAGTCCTCAGACCCCTAGATAACAGGTGTTCCTTGATTGCCAGTGTCGCAGCCCCTCTGTGCCCAGCCCTGTCCCAGGATGTGAGGGAGTCCAGGAGGATCTGGCACTGCCAACTGTGAAGCTGGTGGCTTTGCTGCTCTCCCCAGGGGCTGGTGAGGTTCCCTTGGTGTCTGACGCACCCCCCCCCCGGAATTGTTCAGAGTGTAGTGGGCCTCGCGTTGCTCCAGGGAGACCCAGCCCAGTCCTAGCCTCACTGGCAGTGGAAGACAGGCCTTGCTGGTGCTCAGTGCTGACCCTGCCCCGGGCCGGGTCCCTCTCTGTGGGAAGTGCTGTGTCCCAGACACCCGGTGTCTCTGGGGGGTGGCTGGCCTGGCATTAGCATGCCGTCTTTCCCTGTGGCGAGGCCCTGGCTCCGGATATCCTTTGTTGGCACCCACTTGGCCCTGCATCTGTAATCACTAAAAAAGGGCTGGAGATTTAGCTCAGTGGCAGCAAGCCTGCCTCACAAGTGCAAGGTCCTGAGTGTGTTCCCCAGTACTGGAAAAAAAAAATGACTAGAAAATGTTATTCCAATTAGAAATTAACGATGGGCATGGTGATGCCCTCCTGTTATCTCAGTATTGGAGGCCGAGGCAGGAGGACTGCTGTGAGTTCAAGGCCAGCCTGAACTATGTAGTGAGACCCTGTCTCAAAAAAAAAAAAACAAAACAAATAAGTAAAAATTTAAAATAAATGAGATAGCCATGTTTCTTTCCTAGCCCAGCTGCTGGGGTGCGGCTCCCTGGGAAGTGCTTGCCTACAGGGCAGGGAGCAGCGAGGGAGGGAAAGCCTATCCCTGGAGGACAGAGGCTACAGTGAGCATGCGCAGGCTCTTCTGGGGGCAGGGAAGGCGGGTGCAGAGGCTGGAGCACAGCCCTCCTCTGTGTGTCTCATTTATGTGGTTCCACTGTTCCGTCATCTCCTTTGAGCTTTCCTGTAGCATCACTGTGTTTTTCTCACTTTTCACGGCTCCACACCTGGATTCATAGGGAATGCCTTCACCCTGGGGCGTCCCGCGCGCCTGTCACATCCCAGGCCTCAGCCAGGCGCTGTCACTTCAGTGGCCGAGTGGTGCTGGTGCTGGGTGGGGACGCATGGCGCCCATGCATCCTCATACGGGACTTGGGGCTGGAGCCGCTCTGGTCTCCCTGGCAGCCTGTGCCTTGCTCATGGTGTCTTCTGCAGGGCCTTGGATTCCAAGTAGTGGAGTCAGTCAGGGAGTGAAAGGCTCGGCTCCGGTCCAAGGCCCTAGGGACATTTCCAGAGCGCCTGCGCAGCCGGCCAAGCTGCCCCATTGCCTTCTTGAACACTTTCCATGCTGGAGAAGCTCTAGGTTTCCTTGCTCATGCTGTTTGGTAATTTTTATTCCTTCATCTGAAAACCTCTATATGAGCTCATTTTTTACATTATTGTAAAATTCACATGACATAAAACTTACCACTTCATTGTCGGGTGTCCGGTTCCGGGGCTTAAGCGCATTCTCCCGGTTATGCAGCCACCACTTCCGTCCATCTCCAGAACTCTTCGTTTTCCCCACTTAACGCTCTGTCCCCTCCCAGCGCCCTGGCCTCACCTTCCCCGACAGCTGACCTTTATGAGCGTCCGTCCTGTGCGATGCGCCTTTCCCTCTCATCCTTCTGTTTTGCTTGGCACTGCTCCCTTGCCAGCCTGGACCGGGGACGGTGCCTGGGGCCCCCGGTCCCCTCCACCCATGCCCACTGCTCCAGGAAGACGGTGTGAGCCGGGCCCTCCCAGCCTGTCCCCACCTCCGCCCTCTCCTCCAGACCCTGGTGACCCCTCCAGCTGTCCCCCAGGTGCAGGTGCTGAGCCCCCAGAAGTGGGCCTTCGTCTCAGAGCTCTTGTCTGGCTGCCTGCGGTACCGGAAGCTCCTGGCTGTTGTGGTGGACGCCTTCTATGTGCAGGATGGCCGGCTCTGCTTGTGGGCCGACTACAGCCTCTTCCAGGGTGGGTGTCAGTTGCGCGTTCCCAGGCCCCAGCTCGCTGTGCCCCCTGGAGCAGACCCCTGGAGTGACCTAGGAAGTGGCCTGGGTTTCTGCACAACCACTTTGCTCATGACATCCCCACAGTCGCCCACCAGCGGGTTGACCAGGGTAGACACATTCCTGCACCTCGCAGACGGGAAGCTAAGGTTCATGGATGGCCAACGTGCTGGCAGAAAGGCCTCGCCCTGCCACCCCCACAGCTATGGTCTGGCACAGGAGGCCTGGTCTGGCTGAGAGCACCCCTCCTTTTTTGGGGTTCCTGGCGCCTGTCCCTGTCCCTAAGAACTTTGGGTAGAGCACGTTCTGAGTCACAGTTGGGACCGTCACGGGGGTTAAATATGAGAGATGCCAGCTGGACATCTATGATTCTAGCACTCTGGGAGGCTGAGGCAGGAGGATGGCAAGTCTCAAAACAAAGTTTTAAAAAGGGCTAGGGATGTAGCTTGTTGTGAAGGTCCGAGGTTTAACCCCCCGTACAGAGAGAGAGAGAGAGAGAGAGAGAGAGAGAGAGCCTGGTCTGGCTGAGAGCACCCCTCCTTTTTTGGGGTTCCTGGCGCCTGTCCCTGTCCCTAAGAACTTTGGGTAGAGCACGTTCTGAGTCACAGTTGGGACCGTCACGGGGGTTAAATATGAGAGATGCCAGCTGGACATCTATGATTCTAGCACTCTGGGAGGCTGAGGCAGGAGGATGGCAAGTCTCAAAACAAAGTTTTAAAAAGGGCTAGGGATGTAGCTTGTTGTGAAGGTCCGAGGTTTAACCCCCCGTACAGAGAGAGAGAGAGAGAGAGAGAGCCAGGGATTTTGGTTCAGTGGTTCTGCCACCTGCCTTGCAAGAGCAAGGGCCCAAGTTTGATCCCCGGTACCAAAAAAAATAAGAAATAAATTTAAAAAATTAAAATCAGAGAGAGACAGAGAGAGATGGGGGGGCAGAGCCCTCTAGCTGCTGTCTGCTTTGAGGGAGAGGGTTCACCACTGTGGAGACCAGACCTTGTCCTCACCGCCCAGCCCTGAGGGAAACGTGGTGAGGGTTGCAGAAGTGGGGAGGGCGCCCCTCACACTGCTCTCCCCTCAGTGCTCTGCTACTTGGCCACATTCCAGCTGGACGAGCTCGGCCTCCAGCTCTTCCGCAACATTGCCAAGGCCCTGCCTTTGAGCAGGACGGTCAAGGTGAGCCTCCTGCCGGCCCCGCATCCCGGACCCCCATCTGCTTCATCTGTCTGAGAGTCCTCGGGTCTGCCAGGTCCCAGGCAGGAACACAGCCCCATCGGAGGCAGGTGGGATTGAGGGAGGGTGGGGTTGCGGAAAAAGGCACAGCTCCATCCCTGAATTCCAGAGCCCAAAGGGTGTCCAGCTTCCCCTGTGTCCCCGCTGCCTGGCAGTAGGAGCGTGGTCAGAGATGCAGCTCTGCCCTGCGTGTGGCCGAGGCCCTGGGCGGCCAACTCCTAGGAAGGACACTGAGGGTGATGGGGGTGCTGGCCTGGGCCCCGCCCCTCACAGCCCTACCCCCAGTTCCTCAGGTTCTTCTTCAACCCCTTAAACCTGTGCTCCTGGATCAAGGACGAGTGGAGCCTCATCTACACAGCAGCCCACGTGCAGGAGAACTGGATTGAACCCCTGCTGAGGTGGGGACCCCAGCCCTGAACAGACCACCCTAGCACCTCAGTATAGCTGGGCCCCGCGATTCCCTGGTTTTGGGGCAAGAGGCTCGGAGAGGCCCACGGACGGCAAGCCTAGCCCTGCAGCTGGGCAAAGCAAACAGGACATGTCCTGGCCATCAGTCCAGGTCCCTCAGTGCCCACAGCTGCCTGGCAGAGGGTGGGCCTGGCGGCCAGAGGGTATCAGGGGGACAAGAAATGGCCCTTTTGCTCTGATCCTGCCCACTGTTCAAAGGCCAGTGACAGTGGCCAGCCCTGTCCCTGGCCTCTCTGCAGACCCAGAGTGCAGGCTGAGGGGAGCTGGGAGAGCCAGGCAGGGCAGCAGCTCTGCTCCAGCTCCAGGTGGTTCAGGCCCAGCTTCTGGCTCTTTTCTGAGCCAGGGTGAATGCCCCAAGCTGTCCTTGTTGCCCTCTGTGCCCCTCAGCCTGGGGTGAGCTGGGGCAAACCAGACATGGGGACGCATTCAGGGGCCAGGGTGCAGCGGGGAGACCCCAGGCATCTTCCTCCGAGAGGAGGGGAGGCACCCTGTCTTTCTAGGGACTGTTGTGGCACAGGTGGGCCTTGCAGAGCTCTGACTCCCACAGTGGGGTCCCTGGAGCTGCTTCGTCTTCACCAAGGGACTGCCCTCAGTCCCAGCACGTCCCTGCTGCTGGTAGTGGGACAGAACTCTAAGGAATGCGAGCACTGCTGGGGTGCTTCCCCAGCTCCCTAGGACCAGCTGCTCAAACCTCCTGCCCTTTCCCTGTTTGGGGGCCCTGGGGCCAGCTTGGCATGGCTGCGTGGGAACCCCCTGCAGTGGGAATTGTGGGGTGGCCCTGGTTCTGGACATGGGGCTGGAGCTCTGCAAGGATGCCGGTGGTGGTGGACTGTTCCCAACAAGGCCCCCAGCCCTGCTCCAGAGCCCCCAGCCTGAGGCCATCCGGAGCAAGCGAGGACAGCCGGACTCCCTGCCTGTGGCTCGCACCACACCCGTCTCCCACGGTGCCGCTCCAGAAGGCCCCTTCCCTTGCCAGCTTCCTCCCACTCCCGACTTCCCCATCTGTGCCATCTGCTCTGCCCCAGTTTAGCTCCACATCCCTGCTGCTGCTCAGGCTCCATGGTCCCCAGGTCCCCTGTCTTCACTGCCCAGCCTGTCTCTTCATCGTCTGCACAAAGAGTGTGGCTGGGCCCTGCCTGCAAGTCCTGGGCACCAGGGAAGCAGCCCTCAGTCCCGTCACCAGCCTTCCGAGGGAGACCCAGGTCCTGGGGTCCTTTCAGTCCCAAGGCCCACAGAGGAAGTGACCTGGGCTTCTCCCTTTGCCACCCAGGTGGCAGCCGGAGGTCCAGGGCCTGCTGGACCAGCTGGAGGGAGAATCAGCCCACCAGGCCCCTCTTGCCAAGGTCAAGGCCAAAGTCACAGAGCCCAGAGAATTCAACCTGACAGCACCCCGGCCCCGTGCCATTCCAGTGCCTGAGCCGGTCCCCACTGTGGCCAAGCCAAGACCTGTGAGTTGGGCATTTGCAGGGGGCACAGACTTGTACCATGGAACGTTCAGGCCAGGAAGTGAACTGCAGGGGCCACAGGGAGCTGGACTCCTCCAGGGCCAGGGTACACCGCCCTGACCTGGAGTGTTGGGTGACTCTTCTCACTTTGACGCCCACGGAGCAGGGCAGCTGGAGCCCACCAGGCCTCCACCCCTCAGCAGGTGTGGAGTGGAGCTGTGAGGCTCTGTGGAGCTGGAACTTGGAGCTCACTTTTAGTCGTGGTGCAGTGTGCCACCCTCCCCATGAGACGCAACAAGTCAGGTCACAATGAATACAGCCTTTGGGCTGTAGGCACAGTGATGCCTCCATGGATGTCCCACGTCCCTCTCTGCCTGCCTGATTTATGAGTCTGGATCCTCTGTACTGCAAGTAACAGAAAAATGCAGCTCACACTGACTTAAACAATAGATCACTGGCTGACTCTCACAGCCAAAGTAGGATAGGCTTCAGGCATGGTTTGATCCAGGCTCCAGGCTCCATCTCTGTTTCTCTGTGATTCTACTTCAGCCTCTTCTGCAAGTCAACTTTCTCTTTGGGCTAACTTCCTTCATTATAGAAAAAAAATCAAGCCTCACATTATGCTCTTTACTGTCTGGGGCAGGAGGGTGAGGCCAGACGATAGTGCTGGGAGGTCCCAGGTCCCACCGAAGCCCATCTCATTCGGATCTCATTCACAGAAACTCTTCATGAACCCTCACCCACATGGCCCCTCTCACAGGGCGTCCCACTCTGTGGCCCAGCTGTTTCTCTGTAGCACTGATGAGTTAGTCTGGTAGCGTGTGGGCCTGCTTGTCGCTGCTTACCATCGCTCTTCTCTGCCAAGTCTTACCTTTTTCTGTCCCACATTCCCAATTGGGCCAGCCTAGTCCTGGCTCACAGCAGACCCTCAGTGAACTGTTGGATGGGTGGGTGGGTGGATGGACGATCGGGGGCCTGGATGGCAAGTAACCCTTCGCTAACCCTCTAGATCTTCAATGTTTCTGATCCCACCTCTTCAGTGCATTTGTCTATTTCTCTCAAGCCATCCCCCCTCCTTCCCCATCTTCCTCTCTCCTTGGCACTCCCAGGCCCTCTGGCATCCTTGCCGTCAGGAGCCGGCCCTCCCTCTGCCCCTTGCCCACCCCTGCTTAGGTCCAGTCCGCTTCCTCCACTGCATCACCAGGGGCTCCTGGGAAGGGCTTTCCCTGGGGCCCAGGCCACCATCCACTTCCCTTCACCCACACGTGTCCTGACACCCCCACGTGGCAGTCACTGACCAGGGCTCCACTGCAGGTCCCTCAGAGCACCTACCAGGAGCCCAGGGAGCAGCGGCAGCTGCAGCTGGCCAAGAGATTCAACCGCCAGAAGGCTGAGGTAGCAGCATGACGCCCGCCTCCCCAGGGTCCCCGGCACCTGATATGGGGGAGGGCTGCTGGGCTTCGCATGTGTGCCCCCCAATGGCCCAGGGTACCCCCCCTTTGGCTGGTGTCCTGGCAGGAGCTGCTGCTGCTGGCCAACATGGAGGAGCTGAGGTGCGCCATGCCCAGGCCCCACGGTGCACCACCTGTGCAGGTAACACCGCCTGTCTCCATCCAGGCGTTTACGCAGGTCACAGAGAAGTTCCACTGACCAGGTGTGGTACACACTTGTGATTCCAGCACTCTGAGGAGGCTGAGGCATGAGGATCACAAATTTAAACTCAGCCTGGGCAACTTACTGACTTAGCAAGACCTTCTCTCAAAATGAAAGGGCTGAGGATGTGGCTCACTGCGAAGGCCCAGATTTAATCCCCAGTGGCACCAGAAACAAAGGATGCTATTTCAGTGGTGACGCGAAGGCCATGGGCAGATTCCCAGTATAGCTGGGAGTGGCTCTGGGCCACACTGAGCGCGGGCAGAGAGGGCACACCCGAGCCTGGAGAAAGAAAGCACCCAGAAGGTGCACCCGCAGCCTTGTCTCTGGGTTTGAACTCCTGTCAAAAGATGAACCCAGGGGTGTTGGCCAGGAAGGAAGTCAGGGGACCAGGAGGGGAAGGCATGCAGAGAAACCTCCCTCAGTGCACAACCCACGTGGGCTGCTGAGCAGCTGGGCACTGGCACCACCCACAGCAGCTTGCCCAGGGTGAGTGGTGCCTTTCACTGCTGTGGCGTGCAGCCCTGGCACACAGCAGCGGGGCAGAGATTGGGAGCAGCCTGGTGGGGCGAGAAGCCAGAGAGGCTCCAGGCTGCGGCAGCCAAGGAGAAGGTCCTGTTCCCAGGCCAGGGGACCCTGCGTGTCTTTGCCCCTCCCAGACACCCAAGGCCATGGGGCCAGGGTGAGAACACACCGTGGAGGCTTGACTAGGGCAGAGGGGAGCGGGTGGGCTTCAGGGGTGCAGGCCAGCTGTCTACCTGGGCAGGCTGGGGCACAAGTGGGCACAGGTGCCAGGCTGTCTCTTCTTGGCTTCTGCAGGACTCTAAGAAGCAGCTGCAGCTTCGATCCACCTTGCCCCGAATCCGGAAGACTCCCAAGCTGACCTTCTACAGGGTGAGGGACCCCACCTCTCCCACCCCTCAGGGGCTGGGGGCCCCAAGGATGGCCCCACGCTGAGGCAGAGGACACTGCTCTCCCCGTCCCCTTCCTGCAGCCTGACCACATCCCCGTCAAGATGAATGCGGCTGCCATCCTGCGGGAAGGGTCTCTGTACCGGCGCCAGGTGGAGAAGGAGCTGCAGAGGTGAGGGCGGGGCCTGGTGCGCCCTCTGCCCGCCCTCCCTACAGGGGGTGCCCACAGCTCTTTCTGGTCCCTGGGGTCCAGGACCCTCCACCTATTCCACCACCAGGAGCCCCTGCAACCCATCCTTTGGGTTTTCAGGGGCTGCACCACATAGATGCCCCTGATGATGAGCCCATTGCATAGGTTCAGAGTGGTTGACTCTTACTCCTCCCTCCCTGGAGGCCTGGTGGGCTGAAATTCTGGCCCTAGGTCTTTCTGGTGACCAGCCCCATCCAGACCCTGTCTAGGCCCCAGCTAGGCCTTCGCATTAGCATAGGAGGGACACTAAACACTTTGGCGATGCAGGGATTTAGGAGGGCAGAGGGGTGTGGACCAAAGTGGATGGGAAGCGGGTACCTGGTGTGGAGGGATTCTGTGGTCCTGTGGGTGGGGTGGCAACAGGGTCACCCTTCACAGAGATAATCCCAGCTCTGGGCAGGGATGGAGCAGGGCAGGGGGCCTTGCCAAACCCCTGGCCAACCCCAAACCTTCCCTGGGTCACCTCCTCCCAGACCCCTTCCCAATTCAGATCCTTTCATGTCTGAGTCAGGCAGATGAACAGACAGGAGGACGGGGGTGGCATCCAGACAGTGGACACCGGGGTGGCTGATGGACAGATGTGGACAGAGCAAATGGACTGAGGGCCCCAGAACGATGTGCTGGTGGGTGGGTGCCGAGGAGGGGACGGGGAAGCAGTGGGTCAGTGGGAGATGCGGGTGGGCCAGAGCCTGGAGGACCACTGCCCCCCAGGGGAACCTGTGGCCTCCTAGTGGCCCTGCTCATGGGGACCCCAAGCTGCATCTCTGCCCTTGTGTCTCCAGGGTAGACAAGCTCGCGGATGGGTATGGGGACCTCTCTGAGTTCCTCGAGTGGCAGGAGAAGATGCGGGCAAAGGACTGGGCAGAGCAGCAGGTTGCCAGTGAGTGCCACAGGCTGCAGGGGAAGCTGAGTCATGAGGAGGCGGGGCTGGCCCGGCAGCACCTCGTGCAGGAGAACAAGCAGAAGGCAGACCAGAAGAAGGAACAGGTGACACGCTATGCGCCCGGCTAGGGGTACATGGAGCTGTCTGAGCCATGACCTCCAGCAGCCTGCGCTGTGGCCAGCAGAGGGCACGCATGGGACTGGCCTTAGCCGGGCAGCTCCCGTGGCTGTTGGCTTTTGGCTGACTCTGGGTTATGTCCTCCTATGGGGTGGCCTCAATTTTCTGCCCTGCCTCAGTAGGCAAGGGTTCTGAGGGATTTCACATCACCAGGCCTTCGTGACTGTGACCAGCACTCCTGGCCCAGACTGCCATCCCCCTTGCCAGCAGGTCACTTGGTCCACAGATCCTGGGATGCCCCTGAGGACAGAGGTTCAGTTCTGGCAGAAGATTCCAGAAGGTGGACACATCTGCATATGCCATGTTTGCATGTGGCATCCATATCAGTCAGCTTTCCTGTCCTGGGACACAGTTCGGATACATACAACTTGAAAAAGGAGTTGGCTTATTTGGCTCAAGGTCTCAGGGATTCAGTTCATGGTTGGCTGGTTCTAGGGCAGGAGCATCACGGCAGAAGGGCATGGAGGAGGACCATCACTTAGTGAAGGAAGGGCCGGATCCAGACCTCAGGGTCACATGTTTACGAGGAGGAGTGTGCTCTGCTAACCCTGCTTCACCCTTCTTGAACAATGAGGTTGACCTGTCAGGATGAGCAGTCACACCAACACCTCCCCTGGGGGCCAGAGACATCTGTGGTCCATTCCAGAGGCTCCTAAGGTCCAAGAGGCAGTGCTTCTTCCACATTGCCTAGTTGGGGGCTCCCAACCTTCATGTCACCTCAGAAAGCCTGTGGCTGCTGTGGGCCTCTCAGGGCCTGCTCCAGGAGGAAACTCCAGCCCCACCCAGCGAGTCTCATCTGGGCTCTGTCTCGCCTAAGATGCTTCCCACAGAGCACCAGAGGTGGGGCATGGGAAGGTCACTCAGTCCTTGACAGACTCATTGAATGCTAGGGTTTACTTTTTCTTTCCCTTTTAGTTTAGTTTACTTTTTTGGTACTCTGGACAAACCTAGGGTCTTGTGCATGCTGAGCAGGTGCCCTACCACTCACAGAAGCAGCTTTGTTTTGTGGAGGTTTCATTTTATTTATTTAGTTTTGGTACTCGGGATTGAACTCAGGACCTTGCACTTGTGGGGTAGGCAGCAGAACCATTAAGCTAAACCCCTGGGCCCTTTTGTGGAGGTTTTAAAATTACAAATTCCATTTCCTTACTAGCAATAGGTCTAGTCAATCACTCCATTTTATATTAAGGGCATTGTTTGCTTATTTTGGGGAATTGGTCAATTTCACCAAGTAGATGTTCGTGGTAATATTCTATTGCATCCACTTTATGTCTGCAGTGCTAACAGTAGTTTTGTTCCTAAGATTGGCAATTTCTATCTTTTCACTTTTTTTTGCTATAGTTCTTCCTGGAGATTTTTCAATTCTATTTCTCTTTCCAGAGAATTGCCTTTTTAGTTTCATTAATTTTCTCTATAATTTTCCTGGTGGGTTTTTTTTCTTTTTCTACTGTTTTTCCCCCATGTACTAGGGATTGAACTCGGGGTCTCTCTCATACATACTAAGTAAGTGTTCTACTGCTGAGCTATATCGCCAGACTAATTTGTGTCTTCTTTTGAGATAGGATCTTGCTAAATAGCCCAAGCTAACCTTGAACTTGCAATCATCCTGCCTCAGCCTCCACAGAGTGCCTGGGATTATAAGCATGTGCCACCATGCCTGACTTGCAGTGGACCCTTGACTTATGAACTCAGTTTGTTCCTGAGGTCTGGTTGTAACTCAAGTTGGTTGACTGAAGACCCAGGCTCCCCTACACAGCCTTCAGTCACTCTCCTGTACCCAGGCAGAGCTCAGTGTCCTTAGAGAGACACCGGCCCAGGATTTCCCAGTGAGCCCCACACAGGAGAGGATGCTGTCATGTTCCTTCCAGAACTCGCTAAGGGTTAAGTCTGCATCTGAGACCCTCTGGAAGCACACAAGTGGCTGGCATTCGGGTTGTAACTCAAGACTTTGTTCATAAATTAAAACTAAAATTCCAGTCATCAGCCAACTTGCTGGTATGTCAGACTGGTCATAACTCAAGAGTCCACTTTATTTTGCTGTTGTTAATTGATTTCTGATCTTTATTTCTTTCTGTCTGCTTTGTGTTTATTTTACTCTACTGTTTCTAGGTCTTGAGATGGGACTGTAGATTATTGATTTGAGACTTTCTGGCTCTTCTTCTGTAAGCATGGAGTGCTACCCATTGTCTTTTACTTATTGTCTGAACTGTGTCCCGCAAACCTTGGTATGTTGTGTTTCATTTTCATCCAATAATGTATTTTCTTCCATTTCCCTTCAGATTTCCTCCCCGATCTATGAATTATTTAGAAGCGTGTGGTGTGGTTTCCAAGCTTTGGGATTCTCTTGTTATCTTCCCGTTACTGATTGTGAGCTTGATTCCACTGCAGTTGGTGAACACACACTATGATCTCAGTCCTTTTAAATGGGTTGGCCTGGGGTGCTTTCTGTCTTGCTCTATATCCTGTGGGCTTGAAAATAATGCATCGTACCATCCTCAAGTATTATAGGAATGCTGGCTCACACCTGCTGGCTTTAGAGTTAATGATTTCTGTAGCTTTGCTGACTTCCTGTCTGTTGCTCTATCAGTTGCCGAAGAGCAACGTTAAGGTCTCCAACTATAACTGTGAACTTTCCCTTCTGTCCTATTGGGCTCTGCCTCATGTATTTTGTAGCTGTTATTTGATACGTGCACATTTAGAATTGCCATGCATTCTTGGTAGTGACCCTATTTTTATACATAACATCTAACTTTTCTTTGCCCTGAAGTCTACTTTATCTGATATTAAAGTTCTGCTCTCCTTTGACTAATGTTTGCATGATATGTATTTCCCATTTGTTTACATTCAATCTGTGTCATTATATTTGAAGTGAGTTTCTTGTAGATAGCATACAGTTGGATTATTTTTCCCCCCCAGGTCCTTGTGCTTGCAAGGCAGGCAGTGGAACCACTGAGCCAAATCCCCAGCCCAGTTGGATCATATTTTAAAATCTGTTCTATGGTCCAGGGATTTAGTTCAGTAATTCCACTGCTGGGCCCGTAAGCACAAGGTCCTGAATTCAATCCCCAGTACCAAAAAAAAAAAAATCTGTTCTACCAATCTCTATTAGTTGGTATATATAGATCACGTAGTTATATGTAATATAGTTATTTGTTAGGATTTAACAGCCATAATTTATTTCATTTGCTCTATTTTTTCCTCTATTTTCTTTTTCTTGCCTTCTTATGGGCTACTGTTTTTCCAGAATTGCATTTTGACCTATTTGTAATGTTTATATGTTTCTTTGTTTGTATGTTTCTTTACTGTATATAGTTTTGACTGCTGTTCAGGGTATTACATTATGTACACATGTGTTAGTCACCTTTTCATTGCTGTAACAAAATACCCGCAATAACTAACTTGAAAAGAAGAAAGGCTCTGCTTTGCCTCACAGTACTGGAGGCTGCAGGCCACGTTCATTGGCCCTGTTGCTTTGGGCTGTGATGAGGCAGAACCTCATGACAGGAGTGCATGGTGGAGCAAAGCTGCCACGAAGAGAGACTGAGGGCCCATCCCTTTGAGGGTAGCCCCCAGTGACCTCACTTCCTCCTGCTAAGCCCCACCTTCTAAAGGTTCCACCACTGCCCATAGTGCCATTGACTGGGGACCGAACTGTCAACACGTGGGGCTTTGTGGTGGGCCACAAATCCAGACTGTAGCAGTGCATAGCCTCCCATCTCCTGGGGCATCATTTTACCAATCTGAGTGAAGTGTAGAAATTCCAGCTCCTGAGCTGGGGATTTAGCTCAGTGGTTCCACCGCCTGCCTCACAAGCGCAAGGACCCAAGTTCGATCCCCGGTACCAAAAAATAAAAAAATTAAATTAAAAAGGACACAAAAGAGTTGATCTGGTGGCACTTGCCTGTAATCCCAACATTCAGGAGGCTGAGGCAGGAGGATTGGCACCAGTTTGAGGCCAGCCTGGGTTATATAGTGAGTTCAAAGACAGCCTAAGCTACAGCGTAAGACCTTGTCTCAAAATACAAAACAAAGCACGACACAAAAGGGCCAGGGATTTAGCTCAGTGGTTCCAGCGCCTACCTTGCAAGTGCAAGGTCCTGAGTTCGATCCCTGGTACCAAAAAACAAAAAACAAACAAAAAAACAAGACACAAGAGAAGGGAAGTCTGTTGCATTTAACCCATGTTTTTCTTTACTATGTTCTTTCTTCTTGTCACAAGATTCCTTCTCTCATCACTTTCTCCTTAAAGAATGCGTAGCCATTACTTTAGGGTAGGTTTATCTTTTTGACAAATTTGGACAGCTCTAGCCATTAATTTTCTTTTCAATCTCAGCCTGTTTGTCCTCCCTGGGGATCCTGATGACGAGGATGTCAGGTCTTTTGTAATCATCCTGCGGTCCCTCAGAGTCTGTGGTTTTTTAGTTTGTCCTCTCTGTCATCCCAGTGGGGTAACTTCTGCTCTGTCTCCAGTCGTAATTCTTTACTCTGTACCCTCCTTTCTGACTCTGACCCCAGCCACTGACATTTACATATTGCTGACAGTTTTTTCATCCTCTAATTTCCATTTGGTTTTTCTTTATTTCTTTGCCCGATGTCCCTTCCTTGCTGAAACCCCATGCAGTCCTCTGCAGCATGCTCATGGTCACCCACTGCCGCAGTTCCACAGCGCTGGGTAAGGCCTCTGTGAAATCCGTCATCTGTCATCTCAGCACCGGCATCCGCTGACCTCCCTTCTTCACTCACTCTGAGGTCACTCCGGCTTCTGGTGTGACACCTGAGCTTTTAGGGAAGCCTGGACTTTGGGGGGCGTCATATTATGAGCCTCTGGCTCCTGCCGAAGCCTAGTGTTAGCAGCACCCGTCGACACCACCCTGGCAGGCAGGAGAGGACACGGCCACCTTCCTGCCCAGGGGACAAGCAAGTCAAGGTGCCCAGGCAGCCTCTGTTGGCTCCGGGGCAGGAGGATGTCCTTGAGGGTTCTGGCTGTCTCCGCTTGTATCTCCCTGGCTGGGGGAAGCAGGAGTGTCTTTTCACCGCTCCCTATGTTGCCCTACAGTCAGCAGGGCCCTGTGGCCGGAGTGACCTCCTCTTGCAGGCTGTGGTGAAAGCCCTGCCTTTGCCAGAGGTGTCCTGAGGCTGCAGCCTTGGGGTCAGGGGCGCTATGCTAATGCCAGGTTGAGGTGGAGTCCAAGTTCCTGGCCAGGTGTCCCCAGGCATCCCTAGCCCTGTGCCAATGGTCGGCAGTGCTGCTGGTGGGGGTGGGTCCAGGCTCCCGTGGGCTGGTGCTGGTGTGGAGGGCGGCCACGGTGCATTCCTTGACATCCATCAGAGTAGAGCAGGGGCGTTCGGAGGTCCACCCCTCTCTGCAGCTGCCCCTTTCCCAGGCCTGGGCCAGCAAAAGCAGGCCCAGTTGGGCTAGTTGTCGCTCTGGGCTGACAGTGGCTCTGCACCCAGAATGAGCCGAGCTACCATCGCTGTGGGGCCCCCGCATACCATGGTCCCTGGCCAGTCTGCCTGCCACTTTCCATGGTTCATGCCACCCATGGGAAGCCCTGGCTTCTGGTGTCTCTGTGGGAGCGACAGGGCAATCCCCGTCTAGCCACAGGAGCGGAGGCCCAGGTGTAATCTCACGACATTCCCCTCCCTGCTGCATCACACTGGTAGCCTTCACATGTTCGGTTTTATTTTGTGCAGGGTTGGGGATGGAGCCCAGGCCTCACCCACACCAGGCCCATGCTTTGCCACTGCACTCCCAACCCCAGCCCATCTGCGCAATGATCCTCCTTGTGGTCCTGGACAGACCCTCCCACCCGTGGCCTCCCTAGCCTCTCAGGGCCACAGGGCCTGGAGGGGTGGGAGAGGGGTTGGTACAGAGTGGGTGGCCGGGTGCTGTCCCGAGAGACTGCTGAGGCCCTGAGAAGAAGGCTGAGTCATCCCCACCCTTCCACACCCCTGGGGTGACAGCTAGACCATAGCAGGCCTGGGTCTGCCCCTAGGGACAGAGAGAAACTCACACCCAGAGGCCTGAGGAGAGAGAGGGCTGACAGGTCACCCCCTGCTGGGTTAGTCACAACAGCTGGCTTCACTGCCCACCCTGACACCAGTGATGCGTGTTGTGTCAGGTGACACAACTCTGGGTGGTGGCCATTGTGCATCCCTCCGGCTGCTGCGGGTGTTCTGGCCACATGTGCTGTGAAGGGTCCCTCCTGACACCCTGGGACCCTGAGTGAGCTGCCTCTGCCAAAAGTCCAAGGCTACCCAGGGGGAAGGTTGGGGATGGTAGGCCCCAGACCCGGTACTGTGAGTTACCCTGCACCCTCCTCAGCCATCTTCAGTTAGGCCACAGAAGGCTGGCATCCCAAACCCAGGGCTATGTCCTTCAGTGTCCTGCTGCCCTAAGGTAGCCACACATACTCAGATGAGTAGTATTCTTTCTTAGTAAGTCATAGGTTAGGTGGCACTGAATTTTTTGTTTTGTTTTTATTTTTTGAGACAGGGTCTCACTATATAGTCCAGGCTGGCCTTGAACTCACTAGTAGCCCAGGTTGGCCTCAAAATCATGGCAGTCCTCCTGCCTTAGCCTCCTGAGTGCTTGATTACAGGCATGGGCCACCACACTGGTTTTTGTGAACCACAGTTCTGTGTAGTGTATGCTGAGGTCCCATCACCCCAGCCTGGCTGCAGGCACCCTTCCGCACTGCCCTGAATCCTTGGGAGCATCTTTTCTTTCCAGGGGAAAATGTTTGTTCCCATTGAGTTTTGCCTGCTTGGGCACAGGCATCAAGGGCCTGCGCCAACTTGGGCACTGGAGCTGAAAGCCACCTCATGGTGCTGGTCCCTCCTGCACCGGCCAACAGTAAACTGCTCCAGCAGCAGGGCTGAAAAAAGGATGTATTTTACTTATTTATTTATTTTTTAAGTTTTTATTTTTTCCCCCAGTAACAGGGATTGAATGCAGGACCTTCTGCTTGTGAGGCAGGCACGGTGCTACTGAGCTAAGTCCTTGGCCAAGCATGTATTTTAAAACCATTAGTGTTGGCTGGGGATTTAGCTCAGAGGTTCCACTGCCTGCCTTCCATAAGTACAAGGTCCTGAATTTGATCCCCAGTGCCAAAATAAATAAATAAAACCATGAGTGTGATACTGATAATTTTAACTTAACTCCAATACTGTCTTAAATTACTTGATTATTCTTTTTTCATTTAATTTTATCCTCCCCCTCCGTGTGTCTGTGTGCGTGTGTGTGTTGCAGGTTGCCAGGCTAGGCTTGCACTTGGGATCATCCTGCCTCAGCCTCCCAAAGTGCTGGCATTATAGGCATGTACCACTGCACCCAGCTATTGTATCTCCTTTTAAAAATGATTTAATTGGCCTGGTGTGTTGGTGCACGCCTGTAGTCCCAGCACTTGGGCGGCTGAGGCAGGAGGATGGCCGAGAGTTTCAGGCCAGCCTGGGCTACACAGTGAGTTCAAGGCCAGCCTGAACTACATAGGGAGACCCTGTTCCAAAAAACAAACGATACAAAAAAAGATTTAATCAGCCAGGCAGATAACTACATTTAATAAACTTTGTTCCCCACTGGCTACCACAGTGAGATCGATCCAGAGTGTCTGTATCAGTGCCAACACCAGTGCCACCAGAGAGCAGCGTCCCCAGCCCACTGTCACAGGCACCATCCTCTGTGTGTGTCTGAATGTACTCTTCTGTGCAATTTAGTTGGACAGCACTTGAGCACTTTCCACTTGGCTCCTGCCACAGAAATGCCACTCAGGCTTCTGCTTTTGCTTTGTCTACCCTGGCAGGGCCTTGGGCATGCAGCGCATGTGCTTACCACAGGGTGCCCATACTTGGGCCAGCTCCTCCAGCAGCCCTCACGGGTGGGTGGGGTCTGCGGGAACCTGCTGGGAACCAGCGTGCACCAGGCACTAGTGACCCCTGAGCTGAGCGACTCCAGGAAGGACAGGGAACCAGGCGCCGCCTGCCCACTCATCTCCCGGGTCCCCTACTCTGCCATGGGCCTGGCCAGGCGACTGCACGTTCCCAGCTCCCAGACACCGAGGTTGAGCTCCCTGCGGCACCCCCCGCCCTGCGCCTCTCCTCCTCAGTCCCTTTCACGTCTCCCTCTCTGCCAGCCTGAGGCCCTGTAGTTCCACTGTGGGCACTGCATGTTCCTGACCCTGTGCCAGGCACTGTCCCCAGTACAGCTGAGGAGGTGGCCCAGCCGCCTTCATTATCCCATCAAAGAAACCAAATCCAAAACATTTTTTAAAGTAACAAAAAAGGGGCTGGGGATTTAGCTCAGTGGTTGTGCCGCCTGCCTCACAAGCACAAGGACCCAAGTTCAATCCTTCCTCGAACGTTCAAGGACCCGAGTTTGATCCCTGGTGCCAAAAATAAACAGATAAAAGTAAAAGAACCTGAAACCCAGGGAGGCCCAACAGTGTCCAGGCTGCCCCACTTGTCTGGCAGTGCAGGGCCAGACCTCTTTTTTCCTTTGCCCGCTGTTGACTTATTTGAGATAACACTCTGCGTGCACTTTAGTGGTCACTTTTTCCCACCCCATTTCCCTATTTCTCCACTTTATTACAAACTTTCTGCAGTGGGGCTGGAGGCTCAACTTAGTGGTAGAGTGGTTACCAGGCCCTGAGGTTCAATTGCTAGCACCAAAAAATAAAATAAAAATAAAAATAAATATCAGTTGGTGTGTTATTATAGTTCTGCAAATAGAAGCCAGAGGCTTTAGTGTGCTAGGCATGTGTGCTCTACCACCGAGCTCTTCAAAAGTAATTTTTAAAGCAACTCTTTTATTTTAAGGTAGTTTTAAGACTTAAAGAAAAACCAAGAGTGGTGGTGCACACTTGTAAACCCAGCACCTGGGAGCCTGAGGCAGGAGGATTGCCATGAGTTCAAGGCCAGCCTGCCCTACATGGCAAGACCCTGTCCTCCCCATCCTCCCCGCCAAAAAAAGCCTTACATTTTGATCCCCAGTACCGGTACAAAAAAAAAAAAAAAAAAAAA